AAAAGGTATGGGAACGTAGCTCAAAGTGAAGGTTCTGGGTTCAATTCCCTGTACTGCAACAACCCCCTCCTCCAAAAAAAAAAAAGTGCTGGAAGCTCATAGTGGTGTAACATGCATACAGCTAGTAGAAAAAACAAATGAGATACACACGGAAAACATTAATGTACAGTGGAAAAATGTAAAACTGTAAACAACAGAATGAGTTTGCTACATGACATGGTGTTTGTAAATTGCAAACACATCCACACAGGGGACAATGCCACCTGAGGTGCAGTCCAGGCAGGATTGGGGCAGGGATGCAGGGACTGAGCACACTGCTGTTGGGGGCTGATCACTGGGCTGGGGGGAGGGCGATAGCATGTGAAGCAAGGAAAGTGGATTAACAAAACTTGCAACTGGAGACGGGCCTCCATTGTCATAATAAGGTGTCACAAACTGTGAAGTAGCGTTGCCACAGCCCTTTCCTAGAGCAAGACAGATTGCAAGGTAAGAAAGCAGGTGAGGCCGAGGATAGGTACTCCGGTAGCTGGGGGGATGTGGGTTCAAATCTCAGTTTTGCCACTTCCTAGCCTTTCAGCCTATAGCACACCATCCATTCATGCCTGCTACAAATATTCATTCATTCATTCATTTATTAAGCTGAGTACAGCTGGAGCTCAGTGTGGCTAGTGAGGTGGAAAAGGGCACAGGAGGGACCTGAGAGTGGGAGACATAGCCAGGCTCCCAACATTTGGAGCATTGTGATCCCTCACCAACTCGCGATTTATTCTATTATAGAAAACCCTTGGAAGCTTTAAGCAGATAATTTTTTTTTTTCCAGAACCGAGGATCGATGAGCCATCTCCCTGGCCCCTAAGCAGAGAATTTTAACGGTGTTAGTTTTTATTTTATTTATTTTTAGTGATGAGGGTTGAACCTGTATAGCCACTAAACTACCCAAAACTGTGTGGTTTTTTTGTTTGTTTTTGAGATAGGGTCCTGGACTGGGAAAATAGCTCAGAAGTACAAGCGCCTGCCTGGTAGGCGCAAAGTCCTAGGTTCAATTCCCAGTACCGAAAGAAAGAGAGAGTGAGTCAGTCTTGCCATGTAGTTCAGAACAGCCTTGAACTCACTACACAGCTCAAGCTGTTCTCAAACTCGCAGCGATATCCACCTGCCTCGGTCTCCCAAGTGTGGGCACTGATACAGGGGAAATGCTGGATGTCAAATACGCACAGTTCATCCCCAAAAGTTAATGAATTCTAAGGAATAACAGAGGTTAACAGTAGGAAAATTTTGTGGGCCAAGGAGATAGCTCAGTGGCATAAGTACCTGCCTGGCAAGTGCAAGGTCCTGAGTTTGATCCCAGATACCAGGAAAAAAAACAAAAACAAACAAACAAACAAAAAAACCAGTAGGAACATTTAGTGGAGAAAAGGAATGGGGAATTAGGATCAGGGACAAGGGAACAGGAATAACTCCTGAGAGACAGGAAGGGTCACGAATGGGTGGCCAGCAAGCCCACCTCTCAAAGGAAGTTTTATACAGCAAAATCATGAGGTGGGTACAGCATGAGCCAAAATTATGATAAACCCGTAAGATTGCAAGTACAGTCATTTAGGTAAGACTGATTTAATGGCAGCAAGGGTACATAAGTGAGATCATTAGCCTTGGTCGATTATCTGTAGTCTGTCTTGTCTTTAGTTGTAGCAGTTAGTTTTAGTGATTTTAGTCTTAGCAGTTGGGAGAGGATGACACGGTCCTAACAGGATAATGGAAAATCTCAAAAGTAATCCCAAACCTCCCTCATCCCTCAAAGAAGTATGTAAAACTAGCCACTATGGCTTTAAATCTTTAGATGAGCCTCCAGCCAGTCTTGAGGCATTTTCACCTCCTGCACTGACTCCCTAGATGGCCTAGTCTTGTCTGAGTGCTTATTATATTTCTACTTAATTTAGCTGTCTACAATAGGATTACAGGGGTGAGCCACGACGTTCGGCCACATTATTGCTGCACGGAGACTAGACCGGAGGACAGTGAAAGCCACGTAAACTCAGCCTTAGTTTTCACATCTGCTAAATGGCAAAAAAAAAAAAAAAAAAAAAA